CTTGTATGTGTTAGTGCCTTGTAACTGAAGGTTACCATCTAGTGATATATTCCAGGGAACCTGATGCTCCAAATAATTACTTACTGATTGTTAATTAGTGCTCAAAGTTATTAGCCTTTCACAAATTGCCTTTCACAGATTGCTCATGTGAAACATATTTTCCATGTAAATCTACAAAGAACACAAAACAACACAAGCACTGCGATGACCCTATTCTTGCTCTCTTTTTGGTTACTGATGAGAGAGAGGTTGAGAAACAGACTAATCTCAGGCCATCATGTGCATAGTTTAAAAAGAAGGTGATATGAATCAGGGAAATGCTATTTTGATAATGTGATTTAAACACACTTTTGAAAGAAATAAAGGTAATATATAATCAGTCCTGTAACTTCTTCCTTTTTGTTCCTGTCTGTCCTAGGCAGAAGTACCTTTCCACCTCTTTCTCACTTCCTTGCCCAAGGACTTCCTTAGACTGCACCAGAGATCCAGTGAATTCACAGAGGAGTTTGGGAGGTGAAACAGTCTTCTCACACGTGAAGCAGCAGAACTCATTTGATACATCACAGAAAACCTTTTCTTATTACTGTTAGTATTTTAGCTGGTTCCCCAATCCCAAATTTATTTGAGCCATACAGGTAAAGAGCCATAGACATTAAATTCACTCACTCATGAAATTACCCCCGGAACTTTAACAGTAGCATAACCACCTTTGGGCACCCGTTAAAAGTATCTGGACCTGAAGCTAGACAGCACTAGTGTCATCCCTCCAAAATCACATTAAGTACCTGTCCTCATCAGGCAGCTTAGACTTCTAATGATCAAAATCATACTATGCACCAGGCTGCTCAGTCAAATCCTGGCACATCTCTCTACGGCCGTGCATAAGCTGTCTGAGGTCCTGTTTCTAAAGCCTTTGAATTCCTTTTAAATTCCAAACATGACAAAGTTGGTTCCCGAACATGAAGCAATCCAAAATAAGCTCACCAGGCCTTACATTAGCAAATAAAAAGCTTCTAAGAGCTAGTAATAGCTTACATTTCTGGTCTAGAAGAAATTTCTCAACATGCTTAGAAATTGTGGCAAGCTTTTTAGTAATCTCGAGACTCAGAGGGATGTGACATGGCCCCAATAAACCTTGAAGATCACAATATACTCAGAACTTGCTGTGTAAAATCCTCTTTGCAGACAAGCATCTGCATGATTCAAACATGACAGGACTGGAGTAACAGGTGAAAACACAGGACTTGACAGGAAAACGTGGTGCTCCTGTCAAGGACCACAGACTAGAGCTCAGTGCAAAAAAAGCAAAACTATACTACTAAGGTTATGTGAAGATTGTATCTGGAAGTAAAAAGTAGGGGATGTATTTATAATCTGCAAATATTTGTTGGTTTTTCTGCCAGTCAGAAGCATATGCTTAGTTCAAGCTCTGACAATAATGTATACTACCTCCCTATTCTTCACTCAAAGAAAAATAGTTCTTTGCAGTTTCAGTTTCAATCCCCCCCGCTTCAAAAATCTGAAAGTCACTGAATTTTGAAGTGCATAGACTTTATTATTTAAAAAAAAAAAAAGAAGTATTTTGATGTCAGGCAAGACGGCACTCAGGATTGCTGCTTGTAGTAGAGTGCCACGAGAATTCTCTCATTCTCAGTGTTTAAAACACAGGAGTTTTTTTCTCATGGCCTATATACCAACGACTTCTTGGAAGAAAAACTAAATGAGACGCTACAATAAGTTAGTGAATATCTGTTTGCACCAGTGCAAAAGCAACAAAACCAACTGCGGTTATGAAGGTGTTCACAGCTGGACTGATGTCCCCTTTTCTCGAGAAACAGCACAGATGGTCCAAATAATTTCTCTAATACTGGAAAAATATTAATTCATGTTAACCTATCTATCCTGCCTATCTTAACCTATCTAAGGTACCTTAAACCTATGTTAGCAAGAAGTTGAAGATAACAGTTAAGACCTTTGTCAGTTCCCAGATCAGTTTCCTGCTTGTAATGAACAGCACTTTTAGGCATAGCTTCTGACTTGTAACTTTGGTGTGCTAGAGCACACCACCAATGCACCAAGCCTCCCATATAAGTTCAGTTACATATGCTGTAAAGAACACTTCAAAATGCACTCACAGCTGGAAATACCAGCTTAAAAGAAAACATTAGACAACAGATCTGCCACATGTTTTTTAATTTTATTAATAGCTGGCAAATATACTGGTTGCAGACATTGCACAACTGTGTACAGGAAGTGCATAAAAACACAGTCAAAACCTAGAAAATACAGGCAACAGCTCTAACTAAACACCAACAATATAAACCCTAGCTGAAGTCGCATGGCAACATTCATCACAATTTTTACAATAGAATTTATCACCTGTTGATAGTAATTGTGTCAACCACAGCAATATTAAAACAAATAAAAAATATTTCAGCAGAGGTGCACAAAGAACAACTATTCGTCTACTGCTTCTTGTCTTACAGTAACGTGGTAAGCCCTACAACATAACAAGGAAGAAGTCTTGTCTCCTGTGGCTGGTGACTCTTGCCAACCGACTCTGCAACTATCATAAATTTGATTTACTTATTAGCAATCATCAGTATAGCAATATTGAGAGCTAAATCATAAGAATTCAAGTTAGAGTCGCACTTGCTACACACTTGGCAGAATTTTATTGTACCTACCTGAAATCTATGCAAACTCTTTTTAAATAGGAAAGTATGCTTATATTATTCTGAAAATATGTGGGGAAACATAGTAATGGAACATAAAATCTCAGTGGGCAGAAGGAACTAAACAAATATCTTGACTACATGTCCACTATGCAAAACTAATATTCAGCATTCCACAGTGAATTAAAAGCAGATTGCCTTTTATCAATGAAAACAAATCTATTCTGAAAATTAAAACAGCCACAGGATGTTTTCCTTTGAATATTTCAAAACTCTAGTTAATGAAAAGGTAAACAGTGTGGTCTGCATTTCATGTGACCTACAGAATATTGCTGCAGACAGAAAATCAAATTTTTTTTTATAAAAACTGTGGGAAAAGAAGAAATAATATATTGGAAAATTAACTTTTGTTAAAACACAGGAGGGATGCGTGCTTTAGCTGGGGATATGCTATGGCCAACCAAAAGCAACCAATAAAGTTATGATGGCTTAGCCACCACTTGTCAACAATACTGTAATAATCAATTGTACGTGTTCTTCCACTGCAGTGAGGTTAAAAACTCTGTATGGGTTGAAAAAAGCATCAGCACCCAACCATAAACTTGATTTGAAACATGAGACCCATTCACTACAAGGTGTGAGATTACCAGACCTTCATACCACTGAAAAAGTAACAGAAATAACAACAGTTCTAAAACCCAGACCAACTCCATGAAGATATCTGTATCATCTGTTTTCAAGGATTACAGCTAAATGAAAGCCTATTTTATGTAAATATCGAAAACATACAGTCAAGACATGAATATGAATACATAAAAAATAATGGGAAAAAATAAACTAGTAAGATTAATAATACTCCTTCTATATTCTTGGCAACAGAATTGTCCGCTTAGAAAATAAAATTCCAACTGTAAACCTGTAAAATCCTTTAAAACAATAGCATCGATTATTTCATTTGGGGGCTCTTACACTTTATGCAACCAGCATAAGACTGATGCATTTGAGTTCTTGGCAGAAGAATCTCCTACAGCAAGTGACAAAATGTCTTATTGTTTGAGTTTAGCATCCCTCTTCAAGCATGAAATTGCCCTCCACGTGTCCTCACACATTCAGAATCTTCACTTCTGCACCATTTCTAACATTACAGTAACCAGTTTCTGACTAGTTAACCTTCAGACTGGAAAATTACGGTCAAATAAATTTAAAAGAAAGCTGCTTTTTAGCTCCATGTCAGTATATCTGTGTTCTTTTCCTCAGTCTGTTCTATCATTAAGGGAAGAAAAAGCAATACGATGTTTCCACCTAAACACTGCTCCAGAAATACCAAATTCTTATCATATTTTCCTATTAACTTGATTTTGCTCACATGAAGCATGGAAATCTTGCTGCACACTATGCTAATAGCTGAACTACACCACACCTGACTGCTTTGCAACAGCATAGTTATATTACAAACTAATGATGATATTATAAAAGGAAATGATCCAATTCTACATTAAAACTTGGCCTGTGGACTATAAACATTTCAGATTTCAGACTCACTTAGAGACCACTGATAGGAATTTAGAAAAATGTGGAAGAAAATATACACTTTCATGTATTGATATTTTTTGATTCAGAGTTGCTTTCTGGCACCATTTCTGCTGCACATCCCTTAAAATGGTACTTATTTCCACTCTTTACTCTTCTTTTAGAGTACCCTGTCTGTTCTCAACCTCAACTGCTTATTTCAACACGCATCTTCCCACTTGTATGTTTTCATTTCATCTCTTACAGACATTGCTGGTTAGACAGTTAACATGTAATAATGTAACATCAGTGGCATTCAGGAAAAACACTGCACTGAAATTAATGAGCCACAGGGGTGTTGGAATTCCATCCTTACTTCAGGCTAATGTTTGTCATGTTTTGCTGACATGTGGAAACTTCTCTCTGCATCTAGAAGTATTTAGGGCCTTTTTCCAACTCTTGTTGAAAGCTTAGATTCTTTACAGTAACTGAACCACATATATGTGCTATATAAACAAAACAAATCTATTTGCAAAGACTCAAAAACCACCACTACGCTTCCTGTTATTTTATTCCAGTTACTAGTTGCCTAGATGACAAGCCACTTGTACTAAACAGCTACACAATTTTTTGTAGATATGTCCTAGTCAATAAATTTCCTCAGAAAAGAAAGTAAAGTCTACAATAAAGATGCAATATAACATACAGAACACGCTGTGCAAATGCACGTATTCCACCCACATATGCACCTCTTCCCAAGGAGCACTCTCACACTCAGAGAAGCAGGGGAACAAAACAAAAACCAACAAGCCTTACCTTTCTGCAGACACTGTCAAAATTCACTTCTGTCCTAAGACCAAGCCTGGTAACTTCATCTGGCTTTATTGCCTGTGGACAAAAGATGTATTTGTTCTTCTTATGATCAGACTTTATGAAATCTTTCTAAGGTTCACATTCCTCATAAATATTCTAACTTCACGGCATCTCCCACTGATCTCTTAAAGGAAGAAAATCAGTTTGTTATATAGAGATTTTTTTTTCTATGTATGGAAATACTACATTTACTGACTTCCACCTTACTGACACCTCATCTGACTGTATCTACTACTACTGAGGGCAACAGAGATTTTCGACAGTGAAGTATGCAGAAGGGTGGTTTTATTTAAAAAAAATATCTAAATTGCCTCTATTGTTGTGCTACAAATAAACTTTGGAAGGTTTATAAAGTCCCACTTATCTTAGACTCTTGAGTTACATCAGAACTTATCAACATATGTGAATATGTAAGTTTAAGACAATGAAAATGAAGTTGAGAAATAAAAAAAAAATCTCTTTTCTGAAGAGACTGACTACACATGCAGTTTTCATTCCTGGACTTAAGCATTTCCATTGGCAGCTGAAATAGAGGAATGAAAATCCTGGACAAGTGGATTTTGTTAAAAGTTGAATATTTTATGAAACATGCTCCCACGACAGATTTCTCATTATTTTAAAATACATACTTTATATAAGTTGTATTACAAAATGTCCTATTAACCTTATTGATTGAATGCACTGAATATTGGTTTTTTCCTCCTAGGGCAGTGCGTCAAATAAATCACGTTTCATACCAGTTGTTTGCCAGATGGCCATTTTAAAAGCGTTTAATTACTGTTATGCAGAGCCCAAATAACTTCCACACATTCATAGTTCTAAAAAATGAAAAACACTGTACAAAGAAACCTAGTTATTCTGATAGCTTTCATCTAGATCTAGCCTATATCACAATGCTGGTGGCTTCAACACCTGAAGAAAATTACGTTTACTGAATTTTTAAAACTCCAGGAAAGTAGACAGAATCATAGAATCATAGAAAGATCTGGGTTGGAAGGGACCCCTAGAGGTCATCTAGTCCAACCCCCCCACAGCGAGCAGGGACACCGCTAACTAGATCAGGTTGCTCAGACCCCTGTCCAACCTGGTCTTGAATGTTTCCAGGGATGGGGCCTCCACTACCTCTCTGGGCAACGCATTCCAGTGTTTCAGCACCCTGTGGTGACTTAAGTATAACAATACAGTAATTTTACAATACTTGTGGTCAATAAAGAAGAAGAAAACCTAAATTGGAAGTGCCCATGCAAAGTATTACAGTTTGAGAAAATAAGACATGTCCAGGTGATTGGGCTGCACCTATAGTTAACATTATGCTCAGACCTGGACAAGAAAGACGCTAACCGAAAACCCCTTAAAAGCAACTCCTGTGACTACTGGCTCAGAATAATTAATGCATTAGCAGATTCCAATGCAAATCAAATTACGAGAGACATGATAATTTACAAGTGTCTAGAAAAAAAAATGTATTATATAACAGCGAAAGGCTTTCATGTTCAACAACTAAATTATACTTGTCCCTTTCTCTCTTCTTCCCTACTTAATCATCCTTGATATGCATTCCACCACTTTCATTTAACATCCTGCTCCATTGTTGAGTTTCCATATTCTATCCTGGTCCTGTCCTAAATCTGGAGCAGTCTGTGCACTTACCTAGATGTAATTTCAGGACAAACCAAGTAGCTTACTTTCTTATAGAGGGTCATACCTTACGTTTCAAACTCTTATGCTGTTCTTCCTTCTATATATTAGATACCTTAAAGTGAGTTTGCATCTTACCTAGATCTTCAGGGTGTTGTGTAAATTGCGTATGTCTTAAAACTATAAGCTAGTATATAACATTGGGAATAAAGTAACAGAACAAAATTAAATTAAAAATGACAATAAAAAATTCTTTTTGTGAATGTCAGAAGAGCTTCCTGACAATGAGGTATAGAAGTCTGCAAAATAGTCTCTCAAAGGTACTGGTGGAAGCCCAATCACTTGGAGAGCAGAATCCAGACTGGAAAAACACTGGTGGATGTAGGAAACAATCTTCTACTGGCAGATGGACAGTTGGATGACCTAACAGAATGTAGAGATGGAAAAGACCTATGATTCAGTTTTCCATGACTTTCCAAAGCATTTCCCAGATGGTGAAAGTAGGACACAGTGGCTAAGTGACATGCTTACTGTCACATAGTTGGTTGGGGGCTACGAGTGAAGCTCTGGAACCCAATGCTATTCATTAAATCACGCTGTTGCTTTATTAAAAAAAAATTATATGATCTTCATCCCAAATAAAACTACCTATTTCTTGTCTCTTTAGGATTCAAATGCAGCAACTTGGTTCAGAGGAGAGGCAGGTAAACCAGCATTCCCCATGCTAGAATGTCAAAGGTTTAATTTTTCTATGACAACATTGCAGAATCATGCATAGTAATGGAGAAAGAACAACAGTTTGGAATGTGAAGTCATGAAAGCAGCTTCACTGAAACACTTGGTACACAGAATGAGGCCAAGAACCTCCTGTTAAGGTTTGCACACCCAAATTTACAAAGCATCTCCTTCACTTCTCTTACATTTAAGACAAAACAAGTGTTTTTGACTTACATAGTCTTCAGCAGTACAGTGGTTTTGTAAAAGTAACCACATAAATCAAGTTCTTGGAATATATAGACCTTTCTTCTGTATCTATTACTGGTCAACAGCACACAGGAAAATAGAAAAAGGATACAGTGATTATTTTTCCTAGTACAATCTTCTCAACTTTGAGATGCACGTAGCTCCTGACTCACAAAAAGCACCTTTGTATTGAATATCTATTATGAAATCTTCTTCCACCAATTATGTTAAGTGATGTTGTAAGTGGCTACCACCTTCAGAATCTCCAGGACCAGTCCAGGTACTCCTCCTGCCCTGCTGCTGGAGCCCAGCCCAGTGCATCTAGAGACCTGGACGTCTAGACCCCTGGTCCACAGATGTGGCAGTTGCTTTCTCATTAGCAGGTTTAACCAGCAGTGAAACTGAGCTATGCAGCTAGCTTCCACAGACACAGTACTGCCTTCGACAGACAGCACCCACATGCAACACTCCCAGGACTCACATGAACTTAAGTACAGACACCCAAGACCTCTTCCTCCTTTCCGCCTGGTCAGGATTGAAGCTCACTATTGCGAACATGTCCCCCCCATCCCCTCTAGATTGACGAACACATGCACATCCATGAATCCATCAAGTAGCAGCACAGCATATCCCTCTGTCCATCTAATACTCCTCTGCCTGGGTCCAGAGCCCTTTTATCCATCTCACTGGCCTCCTACTTGCTGGCTGGCAGCAAGTCACTAGCAGGCAGGTACATGCACTCTACTGTCTCACAGGCACTCTCGTCCTGCAGGCACCCCACGCTCACCGGTCCCTCCCGAACACCAGCACAGGCCCTCTACGCACCTGGTACCCCTGCCCAGACCCAGCGCCTCCCACTCACTGCTGGTCCAACTTGGAAGTTTACTAGGAATTACACAAGTCAGAGAAACACATACATGGGGTCAACCCACATCGCCAGGTATGGTGAAAACGCAGACACTCTGCCTGCCCCTGCCAGCAGCAGGCACCAGGCACACGGGCTGCGACCAAAGCCTCACTCACTTCCCTCACCCCTGTCTCACCCACACCTGTGCCCAGGACACAAACTGGTCCTGTCCTCCCAGCTGGGACGCATGTTGCTCTGTCCTGCAGCTGGGGCTGAGACCCTCACCCGCTCCTGCTGCTGACACCACAGGCTTGGGGCACCTACATCAATTCCAGTTGCTGGCCCTGCATCCTCTCATGCCGGTCGTCCCAGTAGCTGGCATCTAGTTCTTACATCACTCACATACGGAGGATAAAGAAAGCAATTACACGGAGAGTTAAGAAAAGACTTACAAAAAGATGACAGACTGTGGCGATCAGACACAGGGCTTGGTCACCTAAGTGTACCGACTGGCAATGGTTGGGATGGGCCTCTCTGATACCTGCTCCCATCTATGTCCCCTAAACGTTGTTTAGTGACTTTCACATAGACCACAGGTCCCCTCATATCCCCAGATTCTCATGTTCATCTTGTTTCCCCTTCTTACCAGTTACAAGGCCCAGGCTGGCCTTCCCCAGAGCAATACCAGTAGTTTCTTAATGGCCTGTTACTTAGTGACTGGGGACTTTTTGTCTTTGTCATTGCCTCTGTCATCCCTTGGCCACCAGCTCTGTTGCTCTCTGTGTTTTTGTTTACCCCTTCCCCCTTCACATATTGTCCCCTTAGCATTGAAAAGTCTATGACTGGAGACTCAATGAAGAACACTCTCACCACCTTCCACATGCCCTCACAGATTACAGCTGCTTTCTGAAATCATGTTACTATTTGGTATCACAACATCCTGTGCCAGCAAGTTTCCAAGATTAATGAGGTGTCATGTTCTAAGTGAAGGGGGAATACAAAAGTTAGGAGGCAACTGGGTAACTATGCTACTTCCTGAAGTATCCGGTCCACAACAATCCTAGATTAGGTAAATACTGACAAAGCCCCCCCACCAACCAACACACAAGAGTTTCCTTCTCTCCCTGAACTTCACCTCTTGACAAAGATTTTAAACAACTTCCAAATGTCTAGAAAAAAAAGCCTTAAAAATAAGGTGTTGAACTACTGACGGCCTCTTGAAGGATGATGAAAAACAATTGTTGGGATCAACAGACTCTTCTGCCCTGCACACTGACCATGTTTTCTCTTGTGGGAAAGAGACTACAGTTAAAATGAGAGCTAGGGACTTTCATACACACTGCTAGCACAGACGGTAGCAGTGGCCTAGCCGAAAAATGCTGGCACACTGATGGATAATAGGTAGTAAGCAACAAGGAGAACAGATGGATTTTTTTAATTACAGACTACACCCCTATCTCAATTTCCATCACAAAATCCTCTAAGAGACAGGCATGTGAGCAAGGGAAGACTCTCTGCAGGCTGACGTACACCACACAAAGCGGAAGGGTGTAGCTCTCTTCATCCC